CTGTCTCTGAGAAACACGGAGAACCATATTTTGCTGGAGTTTTGAAACAGAAGTCTCCTGTAATAGTGTTCCTGGTGTCAGGAGCTTGACACCTGAATGGTTGCTAAACTCCTTCAACCAGAATTTGTGAGTGAAGGGAGAGACAGTGAACATGTTTGTCACCAAGATTGGTGAAAACTCAGTGTACAGCCAGTACCCAGGCGATGAAATTAACTACGAAGCAGTCATGTTAGAATCAGGAAAAGCAAGCCAGGTTCTCCGAAGCTGAGCCTGCCCGTGAGTCGGCAGTGCGGCCTTGTCACACAGTGCAGATCCCAGCACTGTCCCTGGCCTGAACACTGTGTTGACCTCGTGTGCTGTGTACTGCACACCTCACAGATGAGCAGTGTACTGCCTCAGGGCATCGGAGGCGAAGAGCGAGTGGAACAATAGTAAAATTGTACCCTTTTCTTAGCACCATGCTTATATCAACACGCACAAATTCTGGTGGTTCTTCCATGACCCAGTCCTGCCTGAGAAGAAACGAAAGCAGGAAAGGAAGCTTGGAGTGACAAAGTCGTGAGGAGTAAGCACGAGAATCAGAGAGGGTGGTGGGGTGACCTGTCGCCCTGATTCGGATAAAGAAAGGAAACAAGCACACAAGCGTGTGTCTCGCTGTTCACCTTGCTGGGCACCGGGGAAATCCTGGGGATCTGAAAGATTCGGGTTTTGAACGTCTGTATTAGAGGGCCGTTACCCAGGCTGTCTGGGGCCCCAGTGATGCTGGCAGGGAGCCCGGCAGTCAGCAGAGCAGCTGTTTGCTTCCTCCGTCTTCAAAACTGTGCTTGCTCTGTCCGAGGTTCGGAGAACACTGCTCCTTCCCTGGCCTTCGCAGTGTCCGCCCGTGTGTCCCTGTCCCCACACGCGTCTTGTCCTGAGAGCGCGTGTGTTTATACCTGCTTGACTGGAATCAGCCCTCCCATGCTCCTGTGTACTAAGCCCCCTCATGTGTTGTGATCGTTGGTTCAGGAAGTCTGAGTTCTTCGATTTCTTTTTTATTAACATTCAAGTGCTTGCTCTCCACGCAGCCGTCCTTCTGAGGGCTTTGTCTGTCTCACAGTCTTTAATCACAGTGATCTCAGGAGGACGTTACTCCTCATGGAGGCGTTCTAGAGGGGCAGCTGGGGGTCAGACAGTACCGGAGCTGTGCGCTCTGCTGTCCCATGCTGGCTTTCAAGGCACAGCCACGTGTGACAGGCTTACCTTTTGGAAACCAAGGGTTGATTTATTTTGTGGGTGTGGGGGCGAGGGAGCAAGAATTTTGCTTAATGGCTTTATTGACGGTTACTTTTCCATACGTGCTTGTTTTACCCTGAGCCACCTGCTTGCGATTCACATGTTAAGGTATCTACATCTCTGCCGTATCCTTGGCCTAAGTTCAAGCCACCCAGGACCCACTGTCCCACCTTCCTACCCACGGTGTTCCTGTTCCGAAACGTCTCCGGGACTTCAGCATCTGCTCTCACGCTCCAGTTTGTGCATGGGATATTGGTCACACAGCCGTCTGTCTGCCTGGCACCTTTCCTGTACGCCAAGCTTGCTTCATGGGCTTTCTGGTCATTTTCTCACACGTGTTTATAGGCTTTTACAGATGAGTCCATGCCTTTCTTCACCTGGGGGCCAGGCAGCAAGCGAACACGTCTCCTGCCTGCGAGAAACTGTCATACGTAATGGCCCAGAGATAGCAGAGCCCCTCACAGGGAGGACGGTCCTGGCGTTCTCCAAGCACATGGAAAAGAAAGTTGTGTGCTCTTATCTCTTTCGTCTCTAAAAAAAAAAAAAATGCAAAAAGCTGGTGAAGCAGATTAAAAAAATAAATGCCTGGGTTCCAGAGAAAGTTGTCCAGTAGAAAGGCATCTGTGCAGATGTGAGTTCCTTCATCAGCGTGATGGTTTCCTTTCTCGCATGTGCTCTGGTGTTATTTAGTGGGCCTTTTTGTGAGTTGTTTCTAAAGCCTGTGTCTGTAGCAGCCACAAGTTAATTCCATACCCATCGGAGCAGTGACCCAGTGTGATCTGAATAGACCCTTTGTCACTGACATTGGGCCAATTTCAAACCTGGAGAAAATAACTCCCAGGGTACTTGAATTCTGAAAGATAACTGCATGGTTAGAGTTAAAATGTTACCACATACATGCTGTCTGCAGAGATGAGTAAAAGTTTAATTCTAAACAATTTCAACTCTTAATTCATAATTGACTCAACAGATGTTTATCGAATGCTTCTTATATATACAATATGTGGAGTTTACAAAGATGGTTAAGGCATGAATAATTCTTGTCAGGAGTTTACAGTCTGGCGAGGATGATAAGGCTTGTGTATAAATGGTGATGCTGTGACAGGAAAGATGGTCAAGGCACAAAGAACACCACTTCCCCATGCAGTGGTAGATAAGGAGAAAGCAGAGGCTTCCTGGGTAATGTTCAGAGGTCTGAGTGGTTGGCTTTGGTTCCTGAAGATAGGAAGGGCTCCCCAAGGCCCTGGTTATCTCTGAGCACAGGGCGTACTCAGGCTGTCCGGGATAAAGGGCTAAATCTACGTTTCAGATGTGAGCACCAGGAATTGTTGCCTGGCTGGTGTGTCCGCTGTGTTAGTAACGCCTAACACTTAGGATGCTTTGACCCTCTTCCCTGTATTTCAAGGCTTGCCATCTTAGTAATTTTCAGTGTAGCAAGTTTAATTATTTGGTCTCTAAGTACTTAGGAGAAGGAAAAAGAAGGAATGTCATCTTCCAACACTAACATGAACGAGTACCTATAATCTCAGATCATTGGTGTCTCTGAGTGCATTGTCTGAGTCATTGCACATGCACTAAAAAAATCAACAGAATTTATGTTTGGGGGAGAAAAACAAGGAAAAGACTACAACATACTCAGTGGTAAGAGTAGTTCTATTCAGAGACTAGATTGGGGGTTGAACTCTTTCCCACCTGATGCTTCTTTATTTCTTTATTAAATGGGTAAATAATCATGTATATTTTGGGATACAAAGTGATGTTCTGATCTATGTGTACATTATAGAGACTTGGGATAATTAAAACACCCCTTACCTTACCGGGTTTCTGTGTGGTTCACGTGTGAGAAATCTGTTATTTCTATTTTGAAATGTGCAGTTCAGTGTGATTAGCTGTGGTCATGAGGAAGTGCAAGATCACTGAAGTCTTGGTGATGCTTAGCATATGAATCGGGAAGACATGTTCCCCTGACACGTCCTTCTGCATCTCTCTCCTTTCTCCAGCCTCTTACAGCCGTCTCTCCACTTCCTTCCTGAGATTAATTTCTCTAGAGTGTGCTAGGTGAGATCATGCAGTCTCTAAGCCTGACGTCTTCCAGTTCTCTCCCTGTTGTAGCCGATGATGACGTGTCCTTCTTTTCAAAGGCTGTGTGGTATTCCACTCTGACCATTTTCTTTGTCCATTCAGAACTCATGGACGCTTAGGTTGCCTCCTTCTCCTGGTTGTTGGGAATGATGCTCAAGCGAGTATGCGAGTGCAGGTGTCTTTTCGGCAAACCACGTCCAGGGAAACCTTGAACGCTGTTGGTGGGGACATACATCAGTGCAGACACTCTGGAAATAGTACGGGGCTCTTCAAAAAACTGAGAACAAAGTCGCTCCATGTGACCCAGCTTCACAACGCTGTGGTTTTTGCTCTTCCTCGTTTTTCAAATGCACGGTCATGCATGCTTTTTGCCTTGGTTATGCAAAGACACAACTCCGTGTTATGAGGCTGAGGCATCGCCCATGCTCACCACTGAGACTGTAAACTGCATCCAGCTCCCTGCAGCGACCTCTCGGTAACCACTGAGTCCGCGAGGAAGGCCCTGCAGACATCCAGAGAGCGCAGAGCCTCTGCAGGGGACGGTGCTGCCCTCCCCACGAGGAGGAGGAGGCCATGGAGAGCGCAGGAAACCGAGGCAGACCTGGAGTCCGCACCGCCCTGGAGCTGCTGCGAGCTCAGGGCCCTGGGCAGCCTCGGCAACCCATGGCTCCTCGCTGTGTGAATCTGAGGAGACTGAGAGGCCGGGCTCTCAATGACCCTGCTGTGGCAGGAAGTGGGGCCCAAGGTGTCCTGCTGCGTCTCTGAGGCCTTGGCAGAAGGGGTCAAGTTTAAGACTCGGGCTGCTCTGGCCAGCGGTGGCCGGGCATGGGGACTTTTCCCAGGACTCCATCGTGACCTGCTCCCTGACTTTCCTCCAGGGAAGCCCCGTCTCAGGAGGCTGGTCACAGCCGGTATGAACCGGCCCTCAGCAAAAGTACAGCAAAGCAGGCGCCCTGCTATTCTGCACCCCTGCTTCTCAGTTCATGGCAGACGCTCCAAAGGATAGGCCAAAATTGGAAGGTCGGAGTTCAAAGCCGTTTGTACTCCCACTAGCTAGAAGTTCTCGGTCCTTGGAACCAATGAAACCTGTCTGGGATTTAATTGTATAATTTGCTTGGGCTCCAAATTTTCTGCAGAATATTTGGTTCCAGAGACCCCGCACCTAGGCAGGGCCTGCTCTGCGCTCCGGACCAGCCCTATAAATGAACCCAGAGCCCCAGGGTGAAGTGAGCGGCCGGCGCTGTGGGCCCTCAGGTGGGGTTGCCTGCGACCTGACCTGCTCTGCCCCGGCAGTGGGTGCCGTGGAGTGGGGTCTGCAGGGACGCCATGCCAGGCGCGCTCCTTTGGAAACCGGGGCGTGGGGGTGGCTGGTGCACTGTGAGAACTGTGTGGGTTTCCTGTGCACGGTGAGAGAAACGCTGTAGTCAGAACTACGTACCTGTGACTTGCAGCCTCCCTCTCTCTCCCTCCCTCCTTTTCCTCTGTTTTCTTCTTTCTTTTGACTTTTGGTTCAGAACGGGATTCGGTGAAAGGACAGTGAACAGCGAAAGCCAGGAAAGCGTGGACCCTCCTCGGACAGCCGCTCTTCTGGCGGTCCCTGCGCGTGGCTGATCTGGCCCCTCCTGTCCCTCTTGTCCCCCCAGGCTGTATTTGAAGGGCCACACGGGGACAGCGGGGAAGCAGAGCAGCCTGATCCTGCACGGCGCCGACTTCAGCACAAAAGACGCCGACAACGACAACTGCATGTGCAAGTGCGCGCTCATGCTGACGGGAGGTGAGTGCGCCCGCAGGGCAAGCCAGCTGCTGTCCGAGGGAGGCTGCAGGGCAGGGGCCAAGCAGGGCTCCGGGAATTCGCCCACGCTCCACAGCCCAGCTCTTCGGCCTCTGAGGGCCTCCTGCAGCGCGCAGTGGGTGCACAGCACACACGCTCCGCTTCACGCCCTCAGCGACGGTGCAGGAGAGGAGACGTGGGGCTGTGCTTAGACCGCCGGCCGCTACCGGTTCAGACCGAGGGAAGGCTTCTTTCCCCTCCCTCCCTGCCTCGCTCTGTTCCTGCCCTCCTTTGTTTATTGCACTAGGAGAGATCAAACCCACTACTGAGCTACATCTCCAGCACTTTTCCTTTTCATTTTTTATTTGGGGAAAGTTCTCCCTACATTGCTGAAGCAGGACTCGAAGTTGCACTCATCCTACCTCAGCCTCCATAAGCCCTGGGCTTGCAGAGAAGCTTTGGGGTCCCTTCCTGCCTTCCCTGCTTGCTGGCTGCCCCACCCCTGTGTTCCACAGCCTGGTGCTGTGGGGGGCCCGTGACCCACCTCAGCCACGCCCTTCATCTGTGTCCCTCAGTTTCCCCTGTGTCATCTCCTCATCTCGCCTCCCCAAGGAAAGAAACAGTTATTGCCAAGCTAGGACTGCTTAAAAATATGGTGCCACAGGTTCTTGAGAAACAGATTTCTTTTCATTGCCTCCTTGATCCCAAAATGAAACTGTCAGTAAGTAGCTTTACATAAAGACAAAAAGACGAGTCCTCCCATTTCCTGCCCATTTGGTACTGAAATGCATTTCATGGCATCCGTCCTACGTTGGGGTGGTTCTCACTGTACCGGTGCAGCACTGGACAGAGCCCTCTGCCCCTCTTGGTGTGTGCTTAGCAGGCCGGGATCCCCACCGTGTCTGAAGAACAGAGATGTAGGCTCAAGCGCCCATGCACCTCTCAGCAATGAGCAGACTCTGCGGCTAAGGGCTAGGACTTCATTTCTGCCTCATGTGGCTGAACTGTCCTGTTCCCTCTCCATCGTCGTTCCTGGAAACATTCCTTGGCCCCCGATAAACACATTAGTTGGGGAGAGAAGATTTCCACTCCTGTTTGGGCTGGAAGAGTCTACGGTAATGTGTTTTCGTAATAAACGCCATTACCCTCTCAGCTGCCCCTTTGAAAGAATCCAGGCCTTTCAAAGCCTTTCACACACTGAGAAAGGCTGCAACTGGAGTGCCACGGCTGGGAACCAGCAGCCCCAGGTGGCAGCTCAGTGCCGCCACCACTGCCTGAGCCCCAGGAGTTCCCTGTCTCCACTGTCTGAAACCAGTTCCTTTCTTCAAACGCTGATTCCAGCCATCAATGTAGTCCCTTTGAAGCAGGGGGACTTTAGTTAACCACAGTGTTGGTTGTCATCAGTTTTGTTTTATCTCACTTACTTCTATTGCTTTGTTTCTTATAAAAGGAATTGAGGGTAAAGTTAGATTTATCACACGCTCCCTGTCCTGGATAGTTTTCCAATACACTGAGGGATTTTGGTTGGAGGATGCGCTATTGTTACCCTTATCTGTTAAAGACTGAAAAGCAAGAGACAGACAGGCTTAACTGAAAGCAGAAGGTGTTTCAGGCAGACCCGAGGTGGAGCATTTTGACCCCAGCTCCTCCTTCCTACCAGTGAGGCGTTTTAATGAGTGCCTACTAAGGAAGTCGCCTCTACTGAGAAACAGGAGGGACAGAGTGGATCTTCTGTCCCCTGGGAGAGATGGTTGTCAAAAAGTAAGCCATGAATGGCAAGACTTTGATCTGCAGCTGGTCCTAGACTGGCTGGCAGAAGGGAAGACACTGCCACTGAGGGATCAGAAGCGGGCGGTGAGGCTGAGGGACCCTCCCTTTCCGGGCGAGACCCCTGCTGGAAGCAAGAGAGAACTGTTCACTCAGAGCTTCCTTGCACACTTCCTGTGCTTGTGGTCAAGTTAAACCACTCACCAGATTTTCTTCCGGTTCTGTGATTCTGACATTTCGGTGCTCCTGGCAGCTTGTGTAGGAAACTAGTCACTTGGCCGCACATAAGTGGCAGTGCTATCGCTGGAGCTAAAGGGAGATACCGCAGGCTCACTCAGCAGAAGCAGGTGCAGGGCGCCCTGTCCACGGGACTATGCGGCTCCCACCTCCAGGAGCCCAAGTGCTGCCTCTGCTGAAGGCTGCCAGACCTCTGCTGCACCACTGGGGCAGCAGAGCGCATGTGTCCGCACAGACCGGCCTGCCCTGAGTGCAGGCCCAGGCGTTTCCCTGCGGGTCCCCGCATTAGGGAGAGCAATGTGGCTGTGGGCTGTACGGGGAGCAGCGGGAGAGGTGACTTGGGGAGTGGCTCCATGCCCTCCCGGGCTCCTGCTGTGCCCTCAGGACACTCCGCTTTAGGAAAGGCCAGCAGTCCGGCCACTGCTTGACAGGAAGAAGGAGAAAAATGTGATTTCATCCAGTGTCCACTCAGCCTTTGTTTACATAAACTTAACATACATAAAATGGATATTAAAAATTAGGAAAATTAAAACTTATTATTGTATTATTTCATTCAAAATGAACTTATATTCTACTAAAACATGGGCTTTCGCAGTACATTAAAATCCTGCAAAACGAGTATTTTAAAAGTCTGTTTAAGCTACATTTTTGAAGCTACAAAGACTACAATTATATTATCTAATTTTTAAATAACTACAGAGATATTTGCCTGAAAATTTGTTATAAAATATAATTATGAAGTTGCTAACAGCAGCAAACACAGCGTTGCTCCACAGCGCTCTCCTGCTTTAGTCCTCTTCCGTGCGTTTCCGTGCTTAGGATGAGATGTAAGAGCTGTGGAATGTGCGGCCCAACCATCGTGGCAGAAACTCGGCCTTCCCGCATGTGTGAGCTGGCGGGCGGCTCTGAAGCCACCTCGGTTCGTCCCTGAGTGCGGCCGGCCGCGAGCATCCCTCCCGGACTCCCAGGCTGGACCACCTGCTCGCAGCCTGGCAAGGCCACTTCTGCACTGGGAAACAGCCCTCTCAGCGTCCCAACCTTGGGGCCCACACGAAGTCATCAGGTACCTGGCATGCCCGGGGCTCCGAGTAAACACGTGAAGAGACGAGGTCCACGTGGAGTCCTGGAGTCGAGTATAGAAACCTAAATTGCGTCGCTGCTGCTTCAGCTCAGCTTCTGCGCTTAGCACTTGACAGGCTTGCGAGTCCCATGGAGCTGTGAGCCCCCTGCCGTGGAGTCTTTGGCTCTGCAGAGGTGTGGCCTGTAGTATGTGCTCAGTAAACGCAGCTCGGAGATACGAAGATCAGGTGGAGACTCTGAGCGGACATGGAGTTGCAGGGGGAAGGCAGTCGTGCCCCTGCAGAACTCGGGTTTGGAGTGTGGAAGTGCAGATCACATTGCCTGACAGCTGTGGAGGGAAAGGGCGGATGGCAAGAGCTGGGACAGACGTCAAGGCTGGTCGGAGCCCGCGAGACTCAGTGGCTGCCTTGTAAAGATCTGAATGCCAGGCTCCTAAATTTAAATAAATTACAGTTTATAAGTGCAAAGCTTAGGGTTGTGTTATTTTCTGATAGCACAATTCATTTCTTAGGAGACTAGTGGAGGACACCGAGAATGTGTCTCGTATGTTTGGAAGCAGGGACTTGGAAGTGACTTGCTTGGAGCAGGGGCCACGCCAGGGTGAGCAGCTGGCAGGGACGAGAAATCACCAGTAACTCATTCGGTTTTGTCCTCTGGTAACAACACAGCAAGTATTTACCAGGTACTTTAGTCCCACAGACAGCTCTGCATCATCATGAATGATTCATGCTTAACAACTTACATGAAGTTTCTAAAAGTTTTTAATTAGAGGAAAGAGGGTGCAGAAATTCCTTTTTCATGAACTGAAACCCAGAGCAGTTAACTTGTTCACAGAACTGGTGTCGGAAGAAGGATTTGGACTCGGGATGTGGCCTGGGATGGGGACGCCCTGGAGACCCCCACCCCGCGTCTCCCTCCTGCTACATGGGGAGGAGGGACCCGAAGTCCGAGGGAGGCAGAGACAGTAAGAAACCCAGATGCGTTCGATGGATTCAGCACCACTGGCCAGGAAAAACAACTGCTCCTCTTTGGAACAGAGAAGAGAAAGGGAGGAAGAAAAGTCCTGGCGAGAAATGTAGCTCCAGATGGCAGGAGGAATGCAGAACTCTGGACGGCGAATCTGCCCCTGTGTACAAAGGTCCTGCAGCTGCTCTGTAGTTTATTAATACTTTGGGCTTCTCATATAAGAGAAGCCCTGCAATACTTAAGGTTGTGTGTCTGATTTTTTTCACTTAACATTATGGTCTCAAGATCATCCATTCTCACAAGTGCCTCGAGTTTATCCTTCTTTATGGCACAGTAGTATTCCGTGTGTACAGTGACACTTTCTTTATCCGTTCGTCTCTTGATGGACACCTAGGCCACTGTCAAGATTTAGCTTGTATGAGTTTTGCATATGGAAGGGGACCAAGCCGTGGAAGGGAGAGGGGAAGTGATGTAACAAGAATGAAGACGTGTCGTGTCCTGGCAGCAACTCCCCACAAGGTGTGATCCATGTGTACTGCAAACAGGACCAATAAAAACAAAATTGAAACAGACCCCAAAGCTGCCCCAGAGCCTGGGGGCCCCGGGACCCTCTGTACAGGGGAGCTCGCCGAGTGACTGTTACTACGGTCTCGCCGGTCACCACAGCCCAGCTCCTCTCAGAGATGCGGGGGTAAAATCTTAGTTTCCGTGCGAGCCCTTCTGTGTGTTTCTGCTTCTCATGCATCACTGAAAATGCATAAAAGAAATCCACCTAAAGACATTCCTTTTCTGTGTGCTGTACTTTTACCTTAGAGAAGAAGTGTTGAGAGAGATTTTGTTTAGGATCAGAGGACTTTAGTGAGAGTTAGGTTTCCCGACTCAAATAAATTTGAACTTCCTGAGCGCAGGCTTTAGAATCAAATTCCTATTTTCTAGGCAGAGTTTAACTTATTAGTGATAAAATGTGAATTTTCTGCTTTAAAGATAAAAGACTCCAATAATTTAAAGTCCTGGGAAGCCTGGGATAGTTATTCCAAAACTAAATTTTAATGAGTAAAGTGTAAATGGATTAGAAACACACATCTCGTATTTCTTACTCAAACATGGCTGAGGTTAGGGGTTATAAGGAAAAATGCCTGGCGAAGTCCAGCTCCACGGAGGCCAAGCGTGGCCAGAAGATGATTTTCGGGCGCCTGCACTGCTCCGAGGGAGCGCAACTCGGCCGCCTGAGGCCCGCACCCCCAGAGCAGGGCTCGCTGGGCGCCAGGCCCGTGGGCTGGGACGGGGTCAGACTCTGCCCACTGTGCCGGCGGCGGGAGAGGGTCTCGGCGGCGCCCGGTTCAGGCCAAAAAGCCCAGTTTATGCTTCTTTTCACGGAATACAGAAAAACTATTTGAAATGCTTGATGTAGAATTTCCTTTGTGTAGTTTGTTTTAATGCAAATCTCAGTAAAAACAGAATACTCACCTGCACAGAAAGACCTGCCCGGGCCACCTGGGCTACCCTGAAATTTAGAATACGGCACAGTGGAGCTGAGATTGATGTGAAAAATGTCACCCTTTTATTTCCTTTTTGTAATTCCTTTTTATCATCATCATTTCCTCTCTGATCACAGTGTGCATGGGCCCCTAGTCTTAAAGAAGGAACTGAACATTCTGATTCCTCATATAATCAAAATACTCACACACACACACACACACACACACACACATGAAACAAAGCCAGATTCCGTTCTTAAATCCCGTGTTTTTACAAGGTGGTCATTATAAGCTATTCTCCCTTGCATTACAATCACTTTCATACTTTTCTGACGGATCTGACTGAGCCCTGCATACCTTGTGTTCATTATCACACTTGATCTCAGCCCAGAGGCCAAGAAGCCAATGTCTTCACTGTTAAATCACTGCAGTGGCACAAAAGAGCAAGTCCTTTTCTTCCTGCTCTAAAATTCTTGACCCCATTTCCTAAATGACACCAAGAATGTAGATACAGATTTACAGGTGAAAGTAGTTAGTGTATTATTTTATCCTTAATCCAGCTTTTTGAAGGTCTGGAAATGGGTGGTCAAACCCTATACCCTCATGTGGTGAATGGAACCTTGGGGAAGTTCCTTCAACTCTGTGTCCTTATTATGGTACTTGCCGTATTATATGTGGCCATTTGGGGGCTAACGTGAGAGATTCGTAGATGGGTGGGTGGGTGGGTGTGCGGACAGATGGATGAGTGGATGATGGATGGATGGATGGATCAGTGAATATAGACATTTTCACACAGTCAGGTACATATTGACTATCAAATACTACTGGTATTATTGTCTAGGATCTCTTGATTGTTGACTGATGAAGTCAGTGTCACAGATGAGATCTACTCTCTCCAGGATCCTCATCTCTCACAAGAACACTTCTAAAAGTCTCGTGAGAACTTCTGTGTTCTCCCTCCTGCTTATTCTGCGCCTCTCCCCATGGCACTTTAGCAAAGCCAGGGTACTGGCAGACCCTCTCTTCTGCTCTGTGAGGGATGGTATTGAGTTAGAAACTTCCTGTTGGGACTTGTAGCCATCCTCGGGACCCAGCTTAGGTGACAGAGAATCCTGCAGCTCTCAGGGAGTAGGACCATCTGCTGTTTATTGCCATGGTCTTTTCTTTAGCTCTTTGTTTAATGGTTATCAAGTGTTTGGTTTGTTTTTTTGGTTTTTTTTTGGTACCAGGGATTGAACTCTGGTCTTGTGCTTGCAAGGCAGGCCACCGAACTGCTGAGCTAAACCCCGGCCCTCAAGTGCTTTTTAATAATTCGCCTCCTGTACAAAAGTCTGCGTGACTTGACATTAGGAATTTTGTTTTACGCAGCTTTGTCCCCAAGTAATGGGGACAGTAGTAAAGTCCATTAGTAATGGGTGCTGCAGTGATTTCAAGCTTGGTTTCCGCCCCTTTGTTGCAGGCCCCTGTGCTCAGGATGGCTTTTGCAAACCATCTAGAAAAAGGGCTCCGACAGTGACTGATTCAACATTTGGCCCAGCACAGCTGGTTTCCCTGGTTAAATATCAGTTCCCACTCCTGGAGAACGCTGTACTTGTGCACCTGATGATGGACACAGCTAGGCCATGCATTTCCCACAAACTTTGTGCACTTTCCACGCTGTTTCTCGGCCTTCCTGTGAAGTCTCCCTGTTCACGCTCAGCAGCATCCGTGAGACCCTCTCATCCCACCTGAGTAGCCCTTGGCTGCCCTCCCTGCTGAGCAGAGCTCCCACTGCCATCTCCCCTGGCTGCCTGCCTGTCTCCTTCAGGTCACCTTGAACATCATCTCTTCTATGCACACAAAACATGTTTTTCTCTTTCTGAGCTTCTGTGAGCCATAGCCAGGGGCCAGTGCCCTGCCAAGCAAACTCAGATAGGTTAGGACTGAGTCTCTGAGCCGGCTCCTACAGAACCATGTCTGCCCAGTGAATGTGGGACAGAAAACAGAAGCCTGGGCCAGTGGTGTCTGTACACGCAGAGCCTCCGGCAACTGTCTGTCTCGCTGACAGCAACCCAGTCCTACTGGCCTTCTTCTGGGTCCCTGAAAGGCCATCCTCACCAGAGCCATCCCCCATTCCTTCCTGGGAAGCTTGCGGATCTGTGCCTCTGGTCTCCCCACAGGCTCTGCTGTTTGGTGCCGCTTTCCCAGGCCTCCCCAACTTCCCTCTGTGCGTGTCCTCCACCTGCACCCTTTGGTGGTAGGGTGGTCTGCTCTTTCCTTTCATCCTGAGCACCCTAGTGCAGATCGGAGATTCAGGCTCATGCCGGCCTCTTTGTGAGTCTGGTAGAGGAGTGTGTTGGGGCCTCCGGCCTCGTGAGTAGACAGAGGCCTTTGTGTGTGAGAGGGTGCCCTGGGGACAAAGAGTCAGACCAAGAAGTCGTTGAGTTCATTCTCCTTGCAGAGTTTCATGCTAGGCCTTCAGGAAGTCTTCTGGGAAAGTGAATTCCCAAACTTTAGAGGGCCTTTTGTAACATAAATAGCACATTTTTGCTAGGCATACTGACTGAAACTCAGGGAGTTATTCTTGAGGAAGGAAAGACAGAATTTCACAGTTCCCCTTCCCTGCTAAGAAGACCTCCTTGTCCCTCCTGTTTGGGTCGCATTAGCATTTATGTTGCCAGCAGCCTCAGTACCATCTCTCCAAATCAGTCAAGCGGAGCCCCCTGCTGCCCCAGGAGAATGTGAATGCTGCTTGTTGTGCCTCTAGTATGACTGTAAACACAACACAGCCACTGCATTCCTCTTCCGAGACTCAGAGAAGAGCATTAGGTTTTCTTCACTGCACTCTTTCTAAAGTCTGCAAGATAATGCTCATGTTACAGTCAGACATCAGCCACACAGCTCTCTCTTTAGCTGTTAGTCCCTGCGGTACAGCTCTGTAATCAAAGAGAGGTCAACTGTATCCAAATGCAAATATTCCAGAATGTCTCTGGCATAAATCTCTCCCTAAAGATTTCAGTGGTGTGACTCCAGGAGAGGGAGAAAAGTACTGCGCTTTATCTAAAAATCTAAAACCTTAATTTGTTAAAAAAAGAAAACTGAGTAATCCAGTTATCCTTATGGAGCTGTGCGAGCACAGGATTTCCATGTTCCTTTTCAACTTCTTTTTCACTGACTTTAGAAGGAGCTTGAAAGCTCAAAGACAAGACATTGCTGTCTGTGCTTTATGGCTACCACAGCAGGCACTTCCCATATTGCTGTGAGCTGCAGACGGGCCAAAATAATTAAAATTCACCCTGAGTGCCACAGTCATTACGCTTTCTCTAATTAATTTTAGAAGCAGTGTGGGGCCAGTTCTTGATGGATTCACAGAATATACGGAGAATGTCTTCTCTCTAGACGTCAGCTGTCTGCGCCTCTGAACCTCGTCTCTGACAGTTGTTCTGTGCTCTGGGGCAGAAGGTGGAAGGGCACTCATGGGAATCTGCACTTTGCTTCTTCTGCATTTAACCCAGCCCAGCTTAGATTGTATCTTAAAGCAGAGGCTTCCCACCCTCACAGTGGGAAGCAGGTCCCAGGAGAGCCACATGGAGAGTGGTTTCATAAGCGCCTCTGTCTCTTTCATGGCTCTACTCACGCCACACCAGTGTCACTTGAAACAGTCCAGCCAGTGGGAAAATGTCACTGACGGCCTCCTGTTTGCAGTAATCATGGGAAGGATGCACATGTTGCTCACAGCTCATGCCAGTAGCTCCCAGATGTCCAGGGGACTTATAAATGTTCCTCTCTCGTTTCTGACTCTTTCAGGCTGGTGGTTTGATGCCTGTGGCCCCTCCAATCTAAACGGGATGTTTTACACTGCGGGGCAAAACCACGGGAAGCTGAACGGCATCAAGTGGCACTACTTTAAGGGGCCCAGCTACTCCCTGCACTCCACCACCATGATGATCCGGCCTCTGGACTTCTGAAAGCACAGTGTCCACAGCGATCATCAAGCAGCAAAGCCTGGAGGAGCCACTCGCCAAGAGACCAGATAAAGTTTCTGCACCGGCCACATCGACTCCCTTCTAGCAACAAGTGGAAGTTACAGGACGCCTGGAAGATTCTTGGCTGTGCATTTGCACCCTTCTCTGGGCTCGGGAAATCTCTTCTTGGTCACTCTGTGCTTCTTGCTGTCATGGCTTAAGAAGTGGAGGGACTGCCAGGCTTCACGCTCGTCCTGGGTCGTACTGCAAAACTACGACCACGGGGGACGGACACAGCTTCTTTCATGCAAAATCAAAAGAAAAGGATGCGCACGAAGAATGGAGACAGCCCTGTCTTGGTCCTCTGGGAAGGACGTGTTGCATCAGTGAGATGGTGTTATCTCTGCACAAGCCTGCTAACAGACACGTTTATACTATTGTACACTTTTGATAAAGTTCAGAAAGAACAGCCTCGTCTTCTGCATTGTTAAATGCTGGTGGATTTCAGAAGCCAAGTCTCAGTATTGTACTTCTGAGTTGATTTCAGTTAACCCCTCTTCAGATGTAAATTCCGTTTTGTAAGCCATAAGCAGCTGTAGTGTGGGGAAAGGCGGCGGCCACAGAACTCTGCTCTGTGACCTTCTCAAAAGGCAGTTTCAGAACGAGGACATGGTCACATACAGACAGAACACGTGAAAAATTAAGATTCTTCTCCTGTGCTACAGTTTCCATTTACTTTAAAAGCTGATTGACTGATATGCAGATATATTTATAGCCTGAATAAAGTTTAAAGAATGTGAAATATATCGTCAAGTTCTTAAAGTAGTATACATGCGTTTGATTATTTCCTTTGCCATGATACCAGAAGGCAGTATCTGGAGCATTTTAAGTTGAAGCAAAGCTAAGTGGACCAGAGCGGATGGTTTCACAGTGGCTCTTGCATGTGGACTTGGATGCATGACTTTGCTGCCTTAAATGTGTTCCTACATCTTCAGTTCTTCACCTTGTCAGTCCATAAAAATTGATTTTTTTTTACAATTAACTGCATGAAACATGCTTGTCAGGTTCACCTTGCTGAAGTTTCTATTAAAGATATATCCCGAAGCCTGCAAAAAGTAGAACACCCCTGCACAGGGCGTGCTGGGGTCTGTGCCGTCCTTGGCTGATACACACACAGGTGCCCAAAAAAGTCTCCTGTATCGCTTGATAAACACATTACTCTTGTGTTTCCCTCCTTCAGCCTGTTTCTTCAGATTCTATTTTTTACATAAATATCAACGGGGAAAATCAGCACAACTCTCAACGTTGTATGTAAAAGGTAATCATAAGAATCACCATCAGTTGACTAATAAAATTCTGACTACTAGCTGCTACAACTCTCCTAAGGAAAACATTCCTGTGGGACAATCTAGTGTAAGAGAACTTAGGGGCACAGCTTTTTATGGCAATTTGAAATTACTGTGGCATTTTATGAAGAAGGGCTCTCTGCATGTAAGTGTTCAAGATTACAATAGTGAACATTTTAAGAATCAAAACATGTGTTACTATAAAATGAGAAAGTGGAAGTAACTATCAGGTCTCCTTCCTCCAAAAGGGAAGCAGTGTCTTCAAGGTAATAATACCAACACGTGAGGCTTTGTGACTGCATCAGTGTTCTTCAGTGGCGTCCCTCCACTGGGAGAATCAAACTCTTTACATTTCTAAGAAAGAAAGTTTTAAAGTTTACCACCATCTTTTTATATTTATATGTGTATACAATCTCTTTGCTTTTGATGTGATATTTGCAGGTGTAACAGTTTTTCTATTTTTATTGGCTCCTTGATAGCACCATTTAAAGTCTCCGCCTCCCAAAGATCTTTAACTCTGCTTTCATTTAAGTGGAAGAAAATGAGTATTTCGTTCTTTTGTTACAGATTTTCCTTCCTTCCCTCTTTCCTTCCTTCCTTGTTTCTTCTTTTTCCTTCTTTTCCTCCTTGCTCCTCTCCTATCTTCCTTCATTTTTTCTCTTTCAATATCTTTCTTTTAAATGAAAGTACAGAATCTTTTATTCAAAAAGCAGGAAAAATATCTCATTAAAGATACTAAAATATACAGCCTTTTTTCTTTAAACTTTTCATTTTTAAAAGTTTGCTATTTTGCTATTTAAATTATACAAGAAAAATTTAAATTGTTAGCATGAATGCTATAGTCCATTTTTACGTTGTGCAGTAACAATTTTAAATACAAATGATAAACTCTCTCTTTGTTTCCTTCTTTCATTTTCTTATCAGTCTTTGGATAAGGAATACTACTTCCCAACCTATGAGTACAAAAATAAAATGAATAACAACAAAAAAAAACATTGTATTTTCAGCTTTGTTATCTGGGTTTGAAAAATGAAACTTTCCAATTATTTATAATAAAGCTGTATGAAATGTGATGACTCCATTACATGTGTTATAGTACCTACGTGTGTGTAGCAGTTTAACATGTATATCCTTTGCATTTAATTGTTTCAGGATAAAATAATTAGGTATCAGAATATTGTCTTTACATTTTTATTTCAATAAAAATGTGATTCTATGATTTTTCATATCACAACATTGATTTAAATAAAATTCAAAATAACTGTTGTGCAATTTCACCTCATTTAAAATATACACTTTACAAAATTTAAATTTGAAATCTATGAAAACAAGGACTCGCTGGGAAAAAGACCAGGTGAACTGAACCCTCACTCAAAGCCGCGTGAGAGGAGGGAGCTGCTGGACTGTGGGCCCGGCGGTGGCCGGACGAGCGTGGACGAAGGCGAGGGCCAGGCACCCAGGGCTCCCGGCCTCTCCCTTCCTCTCCTCTCCCGACTTCTCCTCCCTCCCCGCCAGACCCC